TTTCAGGAGGTTGGTGACATCAAAATTCTTTTCATAATAAAAGTAAGACATTATTTGCCCTTTTACTGCTTTGACCTTTGCTCTGATGGTGCAATGGCAGTGCTGGGTAAAATGGGTGGTTCTTTCTAATGCATAAATCAAGGCAGTGGCACTAAGCTATTCTAGCCATCGTACACATCACTGCTACGTACTCACATTAAAAAAGGAATAAAAGGCAGTTTCATATAGGAATGTTCTTGAAGCAGTAGACATTATTATTTTATTAAATCTCATCCCCAAGCACATGCCTTTTTAACATTTTATCTAACGAAATGGCAAGTACACATAAAGCAGTCCTTCTGTTTACACTGTTGTCTCAAAGAAAAGCACTTTAGAGATTGTTTGAATCAGGAGCCGCATTAGCCACTTTTTTCATGGAACACCATTTTTCCTTGAAAGGATGGGGAGCAGACAAACTACAGCTATTCAAATTCAGGTGCTTGGCCAATGTTTTCCTGAAAATGAATGAAGTGAGCCTGTCACTTCAAGAAAATCTACTAAAGGTATCCGTAGCCAATTATAAAATTTGAGCATTCACATGAAAGTTAGAATTTTTAAAACTTGTTTCTGCCACTGTGAGCATCACAGCTTCTCAATACTTAAATACTTTTCTGATGAGATCAGTGATGATATTAATAAATGTGATTTTTATGAGTATATTGTATAATGAAGAGTATCAATATTTGGGAGATCAGCATATTGCCGTGAACAATATTTTCCAAATAACTCATGTCTGATAATCTCCAAATCAGCCATGATAAAAGGTCTACACGATGGGCAAGAGAGACCAATGGATTTTGATGTAACAGACAATGACAATTCACTGACATGTTTTCAGATTCCACATTATAAAGAAACTACAACTTGTTAAGTTTGGTGTTGTATCAAAGAATAGCCACAATTCTATAAAAAGGCTATTGAGATACTCTTCCCTTTTCAACTCATATCTGAGTAAGGCTGGATTGTCTGCACATACAGGAACTGAAACAACATATTCCAGCAATTTAATTACAGAAGAGATATGAGAACTGAGCTCTCTTCTGTTAAACCAGACATTACAGTCACTTTTGAAACCATAATGCTACTCTTCAACATGAAATGTGTTTCGTTTGCGAAAAGGTGGCCATTTCCATTGTTATTTTTAAGTTAATAAATATTTTAGCATTTTATCAGTTTTAATTTTTAATATGGTAAATCTTGAAAGATATAACCCCTGTAAACAAAAGCTCTTTGGGGTCCTCAATAACTTTGAGTATAAAGGATTTCTGAGACCAGTGAATTTGAGAACTGCTTATCTATTAATAGGTAGGGAGAGCTGGAAGTCCTTGGACGGCGAGGCAGCATCCGGGAGACACTGGGCAGCCTACAAGCCCCAGGGCCTGGTGCACATGATCTTGAATATCACGAGAGCCAGGGTCTTGTGTGCCAGGCACTGTGTCAAGCCTTTATAGTCATTACCTTGTTTACGACAACCCTCTGAAGTTGGAACACACATCCCTCATTCTATTGTGCTTCACAGATGCTGTGTTTTTTTATAAATTGAAGGCAAGACCCTCCACCAGCAAAACGATGATGACTCGCTTGATGGCGGTCATCTGGAACTGAACCCACAGTATCTCTGAGGTCTGCCTGTACTCTTAGACCTGTCATGTACAAATGAGGAAACTGAGACTGACATCTCAGTTCACAAAGCTGGTAACTGGAGCGAGGACCATGACCCAGCCAGCTGGCTTCAGGTCCCATGTTCTTAACTATGACACCATGCTACACAATTCTGTTTTCCATATGTTCCATTCCCAATAAATGGAGACTGTTCATGAAAATCCTGTCTCACTATTTATCTCCTTACAGATGCCAAAGCATCTGCACTATAGCTCTTAACTAAATTATTTCTGGCCACGCTGAATGAGTTCCAACATAATTAAATGAAAACAGAGGCAGTCAAAAAAAAAAAAAGGCAGTCAAAGAGTTGAAAATTATCTTCAACAGGGAAATGAAAACTGTAACCACTTACTTCTTCATTTGTTTCCCCTTTTGGTTTATAA